CATTCAGATAATCCTGCATACGATCAGCCCACTGATCATAATATTCAGGGATTAGCATTGGAATTTTGGTCGATGATCCTAACAGATGAGAAAACGAGGTCATCGAATTGAGATTGAAGCTCGCCATTGTTGTACGGAAGATGATTTTGAAAACTTTGAAGAAAATTTGGAAATTTGTAAACAAACTGGTTGAATCAAATCGGAATTACAAGAAGAACAATCGATTCAACAATTCAAATGCAAAATCGAATCACAAACTAAAATCTAGACAAATTTTTCACTATCAAAAAGTGCGGAAACTTTTGAATCAAAAAGTTGATTCAAAAACTTTTTAAATAGGTGAAAATCAGATCGCAGATGTGATTCCTGCTCTGATACCAATTGATGAATCAATGAATCGAGTATAAAATGAATCAGAGTATAAAATCAAGTAAGAATGCGAGATTGAACACCGAATGTAAATATGATCTTGTTTCAGCTCAATTACGCTTTCGAATGTTTACAGAGTACAAAGACAGGTCTGTAAAAACTCTTATCTAACTCTAGTAAATAACCCTATTTATAGGGAACAGAAAGCGTACAAAAAATATACTAAGGCATAGACACTTAAGCTTCGAATAAAAGCGCCTTAGTAAAATAGATTACAAAACATTCGAAGAGTGTAAAATACACTTCGACTAATTACAACATTTTGACCCTTACATTGATGTATTGGTTGGGTATCCATATTCAAATATTTTGATTGAACTGGGGTATCTATAAATGTTAGTGTTTCAATCATCATTGAATACAATTGATTTGATTTGAATTGAATTGGTGTCTATTCGTAGTTGTGTTGGAATGATTGGAGAATATATGATGAGACAATCATTAATGTTCGCAACTATTTATTAGTCAAAACAGTTCTGTTAATTTCAAATGTAGACTTATAATTCAATTAAGTTGTATAATGTTGGTTATATGTGAATGATTGTTTGTAATCACAACTAATTTAATGTAGTTGTGATGGAACTGGGGTATCTATAAATGTTTTTGGTTCAGTATAGAATTTATTTGAATTGAACTCAATTTGTTGTTAATTCGTAGTTGTATTTTGATAATTGAAAAATACATGTTGAGACAATCATTAATGGTCGCAACTATTTATTAGGCAAAACAACTTTTTTATTGCATGGAATGGTTAAATGTATTTATATAACAGTAGTTATATTCCACAGTGGTTGTTAATGAGTAATAAGTAATATAACAAAAATGGTAGTGTAATAAAGTCAAATAGTTGATATATATGTTGTGGTGGAACAGATAACTCTACACAAGAAAGTGAAGGTGGCTACGAGGATACATCTGATGAAAATGAGAGTGACAATGAATCAGGTCAAAGTCTTGATGATTGTGATGGTAATGAACTATGGTTAATGTTTACAAAAATTATCATCTATATAAATGTAATTTAATTGGAACTGTTTGGATCAGGTACGGAATCTGATGAAAATGAAAGTGTCAACAATAGTATTTTATATTCACCTGGTGGATCTAATAAGCTGTAGAAACCTAGTGTCGCGAAAGAATTTATGTCTGATGATCAGGTTACATTCGAATCACTGATACATGCAATCAATATGTATAGAAAATATGCAGAACATGCGGGGTTTGATGTTCGGTTGAACACAACTACAAGGTTTCGACATGACAAATCAATAATAAAGATAAAGTATGTTGTTTGCAATCGCGCTGGGAAAATACCAGATAGAAGCCTGGATACAATGGATACAAATAATGGTGGAAGGAAACATAGGAATTCAAACTTTATTGTAACGGATTGTAAAGCATTGATAAAGTTTGAACGTGTTAGTATTGGAACAAATGAGTTTCAAATTAGAGAGTTTCAAGAGCTACACAACCACCCTCTTTATACCACAGAAGAGCGCATACATTCAAAAAAAAGCTAGAATATTAAATTATGCAGACAAGGAGTTTATTATACGCGCAACAACGGCAAATGTGGGTGCAACAAAGGTGCATAAACTTCGTGTTGTGTTAAAAGGTGGATATGAGTGTGTTGGTCCCGAAGAGAGTGATTACAAAAATTTTAGGAAAAAGTTGGGTAACATTATAGGCAACAAGGATGCGCAATTAATAGTGAATAAAATGAATGAGAGGAAAACATATTATCCAGATTATTCCTTTGAGTATAAATGTGTCGATAGCGTGTTAAATGCTATGTTCTGGGCTGATGAAACATATAAGGTATTCTACAAGGAGTTTGGAGATGTGATATCTTTTGACGCTACCTTTCGAACAAATAAGTAAGTGTAAAGCTGCGTGTTATTTTGGTTGCTGTGTATTTTGGATTAATATGTTTGTACGATTTCATTATTAATGTCAAATATTATTATTTAGGTGTGGAATGGTATTCGTACCTTTTACAGCTATTGATAATCACAAAAGATATGTTACTGTTGGTGCTGTCCTACTTAGTAATGAGAAAATAGAGTCTTATTGTTGGTTGCTTGAAGCTTTTTTAAAGGCTCATGGAAAAGAACCAACATTGGTGTTAACAGACCAGGATCTAGCGATTCTGCAAGCAGTTAAGGCTGTATTCCCAAACACAAAGCATAGACTTTGCTTATGGCATATAACAAAAAAACTACAAGTCAAGGAATGTTGTATGGGTAAGTGAATTACATATGGTGAATATGTAATGAGGTTTTAATTTTGTTGATGAATGTACATTTGTATGTTAAAATATATGTATAATTTGAAGTTTAAAATAGTTGTGTATCAGGTTAGTGGGGATGTTTTGAAAAACACGGATTTCAGAACACGCTTCAACAAACTAGTATGGAATATATATATAGATATATATATATATATATATATATATATATATATATCTCTATATTATATGGATCCCATTGAGTTTGAAACAGCGTGGAAGTCATTGATGAATGATCACAATCTGCAAGATAAACGATGGTTTAAAGACATGTATCGTAGGCGGACGTCATGGATACCAGCTTATTTTAAGGAAATGCCAATGCATGGTCTGATGAAAACAACTTCCATGTCTGAAAGTGCGAATTCATTCTTTAATAAGTACTCGCATCATGGGAATTTCCTTTTGTATTTCATGGTGAACTATGACACGACGATTGGAAAACAACGTAACACGCAACGTCGTCTTGATAATGAAACTAAGCGAACCAGACATAAATTTGGGATGGGCACAGGATTAGAGCAACATGAATCAAAAGTGTATACAAATACAGTTTTTGCAGAAATTCGAAAGGAGATATACAAAGGAGCATGGAATTGTTCAATTGATAGTGTAGAAAATATTAATGGGTGGCAGATAGTAATGATTACACATTTGGACAAAAGGAGACAAGTGAAGACAAAGTGTAAGGTTAGTTCCTAAAATTCAACTGAATGTAAAAGCATCAGTAATGTTTATAAGAATATAAACTAATAAATTATTATTATTATTTTTAAAATGTGTCTAAAGTATGTATTAAAATTTTGATGTAGGTGGAACTGAAGTTGCCAAAAAAGGATGTAAAATGTACATGCAAACTCTTCAAGCGAATGGGTATTTTGTGTCGACATGTATTTGCAGTTCTGAAGAATAATCACATTGAGGAGATACCAGAGCAATATATTCTGCGGAGGTGGAGAAGGGATATTATTTCTAGCCATTTGTTGGTTAGTAAGAATGGGCTTGCTGAATTGGAAGATGAAACTTTTAAGTTGTTAACCGAAGCATATAGTAACCTGGAGTACTGTCTGGAGCGTCTTCAGAATGATAAGGATAAATTAGAAGATTTTGTGAAGACAACACGTACGATGAGGAAGGTGTTTGAGCAAGATCCGGATAATACTATTGCATTGGATGAAAGTGATGAACCTGTGTTTAGGCTATTTGGGGTTAGTATTCCAGAGCACATTGAAGTTAATGTCCCACCAGTGATACATAATAAAGGGAGTAGGACTAAGAAACGGATGGTTAGTGCAGCGGAGAAGGCAGCTGCATCTTCTAAAACTGGGTCACGAAAGTGCACAGGATGCAACTTATATGGGAATCATAATTGGAGGACTTGCAAAGTAAGAATTGCGCGTGAGAAATCCAATTGTAGTTAGATTAAGTGTTAGTTTACTGATGTTTTAGTTTATCATTAATAATTTATTGAATTGTGTTTGCACATCTGCATTTGGGTTTCTTTAAATTCAATAACATCATTTTGTTTTGTTTGTGGATTTATTTTTTTTATGGGTTTTTTCAATTCAATAACATCATTTTGTTTTGTTTGTCGATTTATTTTTTTATCGGATAATTTTTTGGTGCAATCTATTAATGATATTATGATGATGGTGATGTTTGTGTCTATTGTATACAGGCATGGTTTTTACGTAGATGGTGATGGGTGTGTTGATTATGTACATCTGTAATGTATGATGATATGGTTTGATGCTTGTAATGTTTGTTTTGTTTCGGTATGTGATTTTAGTGAATGTAAGAGCTATGTATGGTTTAGTGGAGTAAAATAAAAAGGCAAAAGGCTACGCATGTTACATGTGCATTGATGTATTAGTTGGGTATCCACATCATTTATGGTGGTTTATTACAGAAATAAGTGGGGTTGTTAGTAGTTAAATAAGATTATATAAATTCATACCACACATGTATCCTGTGATGTCAAGGTCTAAAACATTAAGATATCAGTTTCGAGTAACATGCCAAAACAACTTGGGTATGTAATATAAAAACCAGCTATAAAAGGTATAACTTATAAGATTCAATTAACAATAACCACAAGAGACTGTCATGTATGATTTAGAAAAGACATTTTCATATGATATGAAGACTAAAGGGAGGTACATAATCAAAAAGCCATATAGTGACTGGTTAGCTGCATTGAGCCATCTACATAATAAAGAAAAAGTAAATAACATATTATTCATCCCAGAAGGTAAACAAAAAAGACTTTTAAACACAATATTCTTTAACCGAATTCAGTCAGCCTGTCATGTATCCTGGTTGCAACATCCTTCAGTAGTTGTTTTCGGTTAGATGCATTCAGCTTTTGGAATTCCGCTACCTGATGAAGGATTGAATCCTTAAGCAGGTTGTAGTCAGAATTTATTATTTTGCAAAGATATATGACCCGTAGTCTAGATAATTGGTTGTCCTGTGCAAGCGACTCTGACTTGAATCTAGTTTTGAAATCTCTAATGTTTCCACCCATGAACGTCTCCATGTGACGCATAGTAAAAATACCACAATCAGTGCTATTGTTTACTGTTGACCAAGAAAGTTGGGGGATTTGTCTTGGGACATGTGAAAAGGCTTCAGCGTTTGGATGGTGAACAGACCGCATATATTTACTCATGTATGAATGCTGGAAATGATATAGGATTATATGTTAAAAAAAATGGATTTATATAAAATTAATAATTTCAAGCTGTATCTGTATCTTACAATGATGTTTGGTAGTAAACCATATGTGTCGTGGGTGTCGGCATATCTTTTGATGTTGTCAATGATCCAAAAGGCTGGTTGTTGAAAGTCGAGTACGACAAGGAAAATATGAAATTCACGAACGACTGGCATGAATAGCTGAAACAAATATTAAGTATATGATTTAAAATAATTTAGTGTTGGTATTGTCAATGCACTCACTAAAGGTTACATCAATATCTAATAAATTATTAAAAACAATGAGTAATTATAAAAAGTGGGTAAAGAAACATACTAGTTGCACATCGCGCAGTGTTGCATCAAAATCGTCAATGGATAGGCTCAAATTTTCATAAAAAATTTTCTGACGATCTTCCTCTGTCAACACAGTATTTTCAAGATACAAACTCTGTGAAGAAGATATATAGTGAAATTACAGAGGTTGTTAATAATGTTTGTGAGTAGTGTAATAGGAAGAAGAAATTGAAGGTGTAATGTGAAAATGTGGTAGTCATGTATGTGCAAACGTAGAAGATTATATTTTACATAGTTAATGATTGCTAATGTTTATTAAAATTGTACCGTCAACGTGGGTAGTGGCAAATAGTCTGCGAGGAGATAAATTGAACGTAAATCTTCATCGAAATTTAACAGATGACTCCAACAATCTAGTACGTGTCCAAAAAGTTCACATTTGGGGAAAAGGCTTTCCATGTGAAAGCGTTCAGCAGCTACACCAGCACAAGTCCTGAAAAGTTCGTCACTGCATAAAATAAAATGTTAAAACTTAAATAATTTTGATTTTATCAGTTATGAATAAATTTGTATGTACCTTGGGTGACCTTGTGTTGAGAAAACCCATTCAGATAGGTCCTTCTGAGCACGTGATATACGTTTGGTTATATCAACTGCCCGTACAATGAACGGAGAACGTAGTACATGGGGCTTATTTCTTGGCCTTAACTCTCTTGTGCGGACAACAACATCATCACTGTGAATAGGAACAATTGATAATGGAAGAGGACTTGGACAATGGTTTTTTTGGAGTTTTCATGATATCTTTCAGTGGTGAATTGCTAATGATATCAGCAAACTCTTGTGTCATCCCGATGCTAAAGTTTGGAAAGGGTGAATTGTGGAACGATTTAACAGAGTGTTCAGCCATTTGACATGACCTGTTAATTTGTTCTGCGTTGTCTGACCACCATTGGGATAAAGGTCCAATGCTGCCTGCATCAGTAGAACTGCCACCTCCATATTTCGCGGATGCTTCATTATGGAAGATTCTGATCTTGGCTTTCCATTCGTAGAAATCACAAACAAGAGGATGTCTTTCGATTGCTTCTACAAGTTTTGAGTCCAACAAATTATTATCCTCAACTAGCTTGGTGAACATACTTTCAATGGTGGAAAGGTTTTCCTGAAAACATTATGAATGATTAGTAATATGTGATAAATATGAAAAAATGATGAGGAAATTTTCTAACCTCAACTGATCCATTCGCCGAGTTGACATTTTCAGCATTGTCATCCTGTGGTATGTAAGGATCCTGAAGTTCACCAGAACCAATTCCACCATTTTCTGATTTCATACTCCTCATGTAACCGCATGGTTTCCACATCCCAGAAACATATAGCAGGTCTTCCACGATCGATCGTAACCGCATCACATGAAACATGCTCAAGGTATATAAGCTTATATGATAAAAAAAATATAAGTAAATCATTAGTGATCAATGAGTAGTCAATTAGTCGTTACCGATGTGGTAGTGTAATCATCAGTGACTAAGTCAATAATAAATAAGTATAGTCAGTATAGTAAGTTAGGTTGTAGGATAGGTACCGTCAATAGGACAATAGGGCCAACATAGTAAGATGTATCGCTCATAGAATTCCATGCATGTTTTGTATTTTTCAAACACTCTAACACATAAGAGCACAAATCTATGTTGCTTAAATCTAAATCCGCTGAAACTCTTGAAAGCATTGATACATCACATGTGCCCATGCTCTTGGATTGTCCAAGGGTGTTACAAATAAGAACCAAAAAATTGACTTTAAACAATAACCCAACATCTTTTAATCTCTTAATCACCCTTTGTACGCCTTTGGGCCTAATATCATTTTCCGACTTGAACTGTGCAGACCAAAAATCAACAGTTTTGTCTTCAGCGGGTGTGAACTTTAGTGAATTGATATTGATATTTCCCAGAGGGAGACCCAACATGTCATTTATCAATTGCCTAGTGATTGGTATCTCACCCTGATCGACATTCAATACCATGCGTTCAGGGTCAAAGTTGTTGACCACATAGTACCCAATTCGTGATGCCGACCCATCTACTTTTATATTTAAAAGTTGACCAAATCCAATGGATGATAAATATTCCTTCTGTCCATTCGTCAGACAATGCATTGTGGAGAATAATATTTTTGGTGACGTACGAATATGTATTCGCCTTGGTTGTGTTGGAATACCCACATGAACTCCCTTCTTTGCTTTTCTGTTCTCCAGTTTCTTGACTTTAACTTTTGTCTTAATTGCTTGAGGGCTGGCCACATCTGCTCTAGCTTCTTCTCCTGATGTTGCACAACTTTGGCTGTTACAAGTGGAGGTGATTTCCTTTTATTTTGGCTGATAACTGGGTGTGGGTCTTTAAAATCTGATTCATCACGTGATGGCTGCTGTTTCTCTTTAGACGTAAACAACATTTTTCTAATATCTGTGTAGTTTTGGGTGGAAAATACAATACAACAGTCAAACAACGGGTAAATAAGATGAATGAATTATACTAGCAATTTAAAGAAAGACAGTGTTAATGAGCTACCTGATTTTGTATACCCATGCACAGGTGAAAGGGAGTTGGAATGTGGATCACATTTCTGCTTTGAACGAATTTCATGAAGCACTTCAACAGAATCACTATGTCCGGAATGTAGACCTTGTATTGATACTGAGGCATAATAAAAAATAATGAAGAATATGCTTTTTAGTGTGATAACTAATTCAAAAAATAATAAAAAAACTACCTTCTTTCTGAATTGGTTTGACAGTTGAAACAGGTTTGGATCTTGACCTTTGAGTCAGAACTCCAGGTTTAGCAATGGTTGGTATGGGGGTAATCCTGATAGAATCAGATGCATCTACATCGATATCTATCATTATTGGATTTGAGGGATCATTCTTGTATTTCATTAGTGAGTATCTGTTATGGATACGCTCACTTTTCATGCGCCCTATTGTAGTTCATACATGATAACAAAATTATAAGTCTAATCTTACTGTTAACTACCCCCATAAACATAATGCAAATTGACACATATGAATAAAACATAGATAACATACATTTATATGGAATATATGGTGAATAAATGTAGTGCAAACAATTTAACATGTAACACATAAGCATGAAATTAGGGCCCAATAAGATCATACATGATAACAAATACATAATTCTAATCTTACTGTTAACTACACAAATTAACATAATGCAAATTGAAACATAATAATAAAACAGAAATAACATACATGTAAATGGAATCTATGGTTAATAAATATAATGCAAACACTTTAGCAGGTAACACCTAAGTGTGAGATAAGGGATAATAAGACCCGTGGCAATATTTACATAATCATACCATCTACATGGCAAACTCATCTCAATCGATGAGTTGTAGTTGAATTTAACAACATAGTGATCCCAATAACATCATTCAAGCTTTTGCAAATCGATTTATATGATTAAAAAAAAAGCTAACAGTGAACATATAGATGAGAAAATAGGTCATAAATCTTCCATGAACCGTTTGACAAAATCGAAAGTATACATTGAAAACTCATGTAAAACATTGTATACAAAGTATACAAAATCGAGTTATATGATTAAAAAAAAAGGTTAACTGTGAACGTAAAAGGAACTTACCTCTTGTGCGATTCCCGACTGCATAACCTCCTTCAAATTCGACCTTAATAAGCTTTTATATCGACGATCTTTAACGATAAAACGCAAGTAATCTTGAAGAATCCCAATGTTCCAGCGTCACATGGGTTGCATATCATCGAATCGCAAAAACCACGGGATAATTGATATGTGATGTGAAAGAAACTGATGTAAAAGGATCCCCCAATTCCAACTTAAAGATTCTTGCAAATAATCGGATAATAAAAAAAAAACCCAAACTTGGAACTGTACTGTAAGTAATGAGAGGTGAAAGGAAGAAGACGAATCGAAGGAAATAAGCCGGATATTTTATAGATGAATAAAGTAGGTATGATTAATTGGGATACGTGTTATCAGTCTAATTAGTCTAATTAAAACTATATCGTCTTCCCTAATTTAATATTACATAAATAACAAATACCCTAATTTAATATTGCATAAATTAAGGAGATAAACTATTTTAACATTTTACATTTTAAGGACATAATTTTGAAAAAGTAACAAAAATGGACTGTTCTCACGTTCTCAATCTTTTTTGTGTTCTCAATATAACTTACCTCTATATATATATATATATTATAGATATATAATATATATATATATAGATATATATATATATATATATCTATATATATATATATATATTAATAGGCTTAGGTTATTTTGTTTAAAGTAATTATTGTGTTATTGTATGCATAAATGTGGGCCAATCAATTTACTTATTTTAAGAAGTGATTAATAATATATTATTGAATTAATAAATTGAAAATCATCTTAATTAATTACAAGGATAATTTAGTCAATTAATGTAGATTTAATAAAGAAAATTGCATTTTTTAAGGGATCATAGATTCTATTAATTTTAAAAATCCGATTTTACGAATTATAATTCTTTTAATTCGGACATTCTGACAGAAATGTTTATGAGTATATTCAAAAATAAAAATATTCTTGAACCGTAAATAATAAAAATATTCTTGAAACCTATTTCTTCTTGATGATGACTTTAAAAACTCCTTGAAGAATAACAACTTCTTGTAGAATAACAAAATCTTGAACAATCAATTGAGAATAAAACACAAAATACATTATTTCTTATAGAATACGGGTAACAATTGTTAAGAATTACATTTATTGTTAAAGAATAAAACTAAAAACAATCAAAACGGGGAAGAAAACATCAAAATCTAACAACGACTAATACATTCTAAAAGAATAATGTGGTCCGTTCTTCAAACATCAACTTCTGTGATTCCAACAGAATTGGAATTCGTCATTATATTCCAACAGAATTGGAATTCGTCATTCCATTCCAATAGAATTGAAATCTCTCCAATATCATCCATTGAATCATCTACATAAACTTACTTGGAGAAGCCAACATACTTGATACCTTTTCAGAATTCAACCTTGTCAAGATCTTGCACTGTCCACATAAATGAAGTGTTAAATCAGAAAAAAAAACATAAAGTATGTTGTCAAGTCTTTACGTTTGTTCTTGTTATACTGAAAGTATGTTGTCAAAAGAGGAATTTAATACAAGTTTTTAAAGGTAAAAGAGATGGATCTTTTTGGGTTTATTGTTACTCAAAAATATCTTTTTATGGGGCTGTTAGATACTCGAAAATGGTAACAAGAAAATGAGCTTTTTAGGTGTTGTAGGTTGTTCGAAAATTAGCTACTGTTTGGGGTGGCTTATCTCTCGAAAAATTAGCAAAATAAGGGGTTTTGGGGTTTCTTTTGGTCACTAAAAAGCAGAGGTATACTTGGTTGTTGGGTTCTCAAAATTTCACTGCGAAACAGGTGGTTTTTGGATCACATTTGGTCACTTGAAAACAACTTTGTATAGGGCTGATGTGTTCTTGAATTTTTGACAGCAAACATGAGGTTTTTGACAACAAAACAGGTGGTTTTTGGGCAGCTATAAACCACTAGAAAAACAACTCTTTATTGAGCTGTTTTGGGTCTCAAAAATTCAGCAAGAACACATGAATAATAGGAGTTTTAGGGATATTATGGTGGCTTCAAACATAGCTGCAACAGGAGACATGTTCAGGGGTATTTTTAGGATAAAAACATGTTGAAAATTGGTGCTAATTGGCTGTGATTGGAGGCTAAAAAAAAGGAGGCAATAACTCCATTTCTGCCTTCGGTTTTGATGGGTTTCGAGGAGAGGGGAGGGGCTGTAAGGAAGTTGATTTCAGATATGATATTGAGAGTATTCCCAGAATATGTTTGCTGTGAATTTGAAGAAAGGAAGGTGGGAGGTGGCATTAAGTTTATAGGAAGGAAAGAAATAGAGAGTTATGAGAGAAGGAGGGAAACGAAATGGAGAAAGAATCGATCAAGCATTCAAGTTACAGTTTTCTCAATTTGGGCATTTCATCGAGCACCTTATGTGCACAGAGACTATAACAGAAGAGAACGCTACCTTCACAGGCACAGATTGCGTAACAGATTTTGGATCAGGAACCACAGGTTTAGCGCCCAAAATACCCTTATCTTAGATCGTATCATTCACAGAGGGAAGAAGCGATGTCTTAGAATTACTAACCTTGGGTTTCGAAGAATTAAATCCCTCTACCATATCTGAAGTAGCTTGAATCAAAAGAACATGTAGAACTCATCGGAGAACCTGAAACCACCACTGGACTCGCCGCATGGATGAACCCGCATCGTTTTGTTGCTTATGATGTCGTTGCTGTTCAGTCGATTTCTCCTCCTAAAACCTTCGGATGATGTCGATCTTAAGAATCGGGACCATGGTGATGTCGATCTTGTTCACTTTCGGTGGTTTTAAAAAAACCGATGGAGAAAACCTAGTAGGTAGGTAGCTGAAGTCAATGGTTACCATAATTATAGGATATTATTTGTGGAAACTAATTATCAAATTACCTATTTACCCTTATTTATTTATTTAATTTTTTTTATTTTAAATTTTGATTAGCCCACATTTATGCATACAATAACACAATAGATACATTAAACATCTGAACCTATCTCTCTCTCTCTCTCTCTATATATATATATATATATATATATAATAATATATATATATATATATATATATATATATATATATATATATATATATAGGGCGTGTTCGGCACGGAGCGTTTCGGAGCTTCTAGCTTCTAGCGTTTGACAAAACACTCCGTTTTGAACAGAAAGCCTCGTTCGACACTACAAACTTCTAACGTTTAGTTTAAACAAAATGCTCCAAATCCAAATGCTACTTCATGTAGCGTTTAACAAAACGCTACAAGCTACAAGTTACCCGCTACAAGTTAACAGCTACCTGCTTTTATTGAGATGTGTATATAAAAGAAGGAGAAATTCTTTTTTTAATAAAATTTAGGTCGGAGAGAGTCATTAATAAATATAGCCTAGGAATGAACAAAAACCCCACAAATAAGTTCATAGACCATATAAAATAAAGAGAACATTTCTAAAATAGCTAATCTCAACAAGGGTTTTTTAGGTAAAAGTCGAAAATTATAAAAATAATCATAATTTTTGTAGGTCATCATCTGCAAAAATCGTGATGGGTTGCGATTTTTTTCCCAATAAGTGTCATTTTGGTATATGTTGACTGTCGTTGACTGCAACAATCTCATTTCTTTTTCTAAATTTGAATCTTCACAACTCTTTCTTATGTAATTCGTTTGAGCTGATTTTTTCCATTGTGTTATTTATAATAAGGGCTATCTATGGACGTATCACACTTCAAATTTGGAGGTCGGTTAGTTGCACTTTTTCAGGTCTAAAGAGGCGCTATTCGGTGAAAAACATAAAAAGTCCTAACTTTCACATACGAACTCTGTTTGAGCTAAATAAGTCCGCCCAAAATTTAAACGACGTGGATCAAAATAAGTCCAATCGTCTTCTTGTTAAACGGTGTAATGTAACTCTAACATTCCCGACATTGGAAAATGTTACAAACAAGTAAATTAAAACATTAAAAATATATATGAAATAATAACCTACAAACAAGTAAATTAAAACATTAAAAATATATATGAAATAATAACCAAATTATGGGAAAAAAAAATCCATAGATTTTCGCAAGTCATAGCTTGCCAAAATATAGATTTTTGCAGGTCTTTACATGCGAAAATCTACATTTTCGTAGGTCATGACCTACAAAAATCTATATCTTCACATGTATCAACTTGCTAAAACCTAGTACCACATGTGGAAATCTACTATCAATAGCTACATGGTCTATTTTCCGTATAATATAAATTACGTAGATAAGGATAAATAACTAACAAATACGGGTTAATTGTCGTCATTTTCGGAGCTAATTTGTTGGTTATTTGCGAAAAAGTTGGGTAAAAATGAGAAATGACTTTATTTTGTTTATATATGGTTTGAAACGAACCGGGCGTAGGCCCTTAAGATTGCAGTCAATGGCATTTTCGCAGTCAACATAGACCAAAACCATGTTTTAGCATAAAAAGAATTTGCAGGACACCATGATTTCGCATGGGATGCATGCAAAATTTATGATTATTTTAGAAAATTTTACGATTTTTGACTACTTTTCTTTTTGGAAAAACCTTGGTAATATAAGATTATCTATATTAGGATTTTTTTTAGAACGATATATAATAGATATAGGGAAAATATAATTGGTCTGGAGACTGGAATTCTAGATACAAATACGGACAAAATGGAATTGTTAAGTTGTTTTTCCATAAAAGACGTCATATTAATTCCAGAGAGCCCTCTTTCAAGAACACCTGTAAAAGGCTAGAAGCATAATTGAATTTTGAGTCAACTTTGACACCTTTTGACCATTGCTTTCATTCCAATATCATTCATGACGAAATTCCAAAATCATTCGCATCATTCCATGTAAAAGTGCGGATCAAAACTTCCAGACACCCAAAAAAAACCCGGGTGATAGACAAAGAAAAGATGGCAGAAGATGAAAGCAGAACGCTTGAAGTAACACCAACATGGGCAGTGGCTACTGTCACTTTCAGTTTAATCGCAGTTTCAATTCTCATCGAGCATGTTCTCCATCTATTAGCAAAGGTATTCAATATACTCTCATGCATACATCTCTATTTTCAAAGTCAAAAGGCGAACATGGACTGATACTGTGTAAACTGAACCAGTACTTCAACAAGAAACGAAGGAAACCTTTGATCAAAGCACTTGACCGGATTAAATCAGGTAATGTAATTTGATCAGAACAGAATTGCGATCACCATGATCATGCTAAAAGATGAAAAAAGATGGAAACTTTTGTTTAATTTTGCGAAAACCTGCAGAGATGATGAGATTAGGATTCTTATCGTTGTTGCTGATTGTGTGTGAGGAGTCTGTCGCTAATATCTGTATCCCAAAGAGCGCTGGAAAAAACTTTCTACCTTGTAAAGATAATGAATCTGATGCCGAAGAGGCAGCCAAATGTGCAGATCAGGTTTGATTCAATAAAATCAAAAACGGGTTTTTCTTGGGTATATTAATTAGTTTCTAATAGAAATGTGAATGATTTATAGGGGAAGATATCTTTGATTTCAAGAAATGGAGTACAACAACTTCAGTTCTTAATATCGATTCTGGCAATCTCCCATGTCATTTCTAGCATCCTAACATTCAGTCTTGGTATGCTTAAGGTACCCCTACTCCCCTTTGCCTTCTAGTCTGTTAAGGACATAACAGTCATTTCACATATCGTTGTTAAAAAATAGTATTGAAAAGAGGAAGGGAAGTTGTAATTGAAGTCCTTTAAACATGGGTTGACTTCAGTTCATGCAAAATTTTGACCTGAGTTTGATCTCTTTAATTTTCATTCATTCAGATGAGAAATTGGGAGGCTTGGGAGGAAATAACAAGAACATTGGAATACAAATATTCAAACGGTATTAAATCGTCTTTATTTCATAGTTAATACTTAATCTTTAGTAAGCACAATATTCCTAGTTTCTTGGTAATCTAGTTTCAAGATACAAAATATGTTGACTTTGAGGTCTAATGAGCTAGTCTTAATATCACCTTTTTGGTGCAAGTTTTATCAGATGAAAAGGATAAAAAGGTATCATGTTAGGAGGTAGGACATGCAAATTTTGGAATTAGAAAATGAAAATATTTGCTATAAGAAAAAAGAAACTGAAAATAAAATGGGATTTGGCTAAATGAAAATATTTCCTTTTCCTATCTAGATCCACGAAGGTTCCGATTTGTTCATCAAACATCATTTGGAAAGCGACATCTAAGGTTTTGGAGCGGACTCAGGTTGTTTCGTTTGCCGGTAAGTTTTATAAAAGTAAAAGGTTTCCCATATATATTTTCAAACAACCGATTTTATTTATTTATTTATTTTTTTGAAAAAACAACAGAAACAAGCACTAAAATTTATAAGAATCTACACTAAAAAGCGATCACCCATTTTATTTATATTTTCAGGCTAGTTTTCTTCGACAGTTCTATGGATCTGTCTCCAAAGTGGATTATTTCATCCTTCGACATGGATTCATTATGGTATTGCACAACTGAATGTAGATTATAATATTTATCCAACCTAAGTTATAAAGAACTAACAACCAAATTTATATCTTTTTTTCCCATTGTTCTTCCCATGTAGGCTCATTTTGATGAAGAAACCACTTTTGATTTCCAGAAGTACTTGCGAAGAGCATTAGAAAAAGATTTTGGCGTAGTTGTAGGAGTAAGGTACATAGACTAAACCTAAAATCATGTTTAATCTATGACATGGCAAAACATGTTAGTACTGAATTTGACAAAGATTAGATTGAGAAGTGGGACCGAAGTTAATTAATGGCACAAAATTGCAATATTCTTTTATCCCATGCAAAAATGTGAGATAGAGACCCGTCTTAATCTCTAATCTGTGTAAAAGACGTTAATACCCTTCACATCCACGTAATAAAAAATAGCTCTAGAAAACTTGTCCAGTCCCTTCCAGTTCAGTCAAATGATATCATGTGATGTCATGTCATGTATCATAGATAATCTTATTGTTTTTATCTTGTTTTTGCAGCCCTTGGATTTGGGTTTTCTCAATGCTGTTCATTTTCTTGAGTACTGATGGTAAGATCGATATCCAATCTAGAACTTTCTTCGAACAGAAGAACTAGAACAAGAAATTACTAACTTGTCCTTTTGTTGATGCAGAATTTAAATACTCTTATTGGCTTCCTTTGATGCCTTTAGTGGTACGGAAACTTGAAAAAAAAAAAAAAAAAAACTAAATTGACTTTTGAGGTCAAATTCATCTTGAAATCTGATCGGATATGGATTTGCAGGTATTGTTGGTGGTTGGGACAAAAGTCCAAGGCATTGTAACAAAGTTGTGCTTGGATAGAAATGATAAATCCCTTGTTATTAAAGGAACTTTAGTGATTAAGCCCAATAATAACTTCTTCTGGTTTAAAACTCCAAAACTACTTCTCCATCTTATTCACTTCACTTTAGTTCAGGTAAAGTTTACCTTTAGAACATAATACTCAAACTTCCCTTTTATCAAACTACATGTGAAGCTAATATTATTTTGGGTATGCAGAATTCTTTTCAATTGGCATTCTTTGTTTGGACTTGGGTAAGCGCGCATCTTAGTCAATTTTTGTTATAAACATCATATAATCTTTATGTCCCGAGGTTTTTAACTTTCCTTTATTTCACTCGACATGGTTGTCAACTTTTCTCTTAAAAAGAGATATTGTTGCCAATTTAATTTGTAGTAAAAAAGGAAGCTTATATGATCCATAGAAGTAAAACGTGGAATTTATATTTGACTTCTATAAACAGCATAAATTTGGACTGAAGTCATGCTTCCATCGAGAAACTTCGGGAATTGTCATACATATTGGTAGTGGGGTTGTGGTTCAGTTGCTTTGTGGGTATGTAACGTTGCCACTTTATGCATTGGTTACTCAGGTAAAAGTCATAGTGTGGTTGATCAAGATTGTGTGTCTTTTGAAACACTACTATAAGATTTGATTTACTGGTTTTCTTTGTTTTTAGATGGGAACATCAATGAGGAAAGCTCATGTTTTCCCACAGGAAGTGATACGAGGACTCCAAAGATGGCAAAAGAAAGCAAAGGCAAACATAGCTCAAAGAGACAAGACTTCCTTTAAGTCTTCAACTGCCATTGGTGGTTCCTTATCACTGGGGTTCTATGGAGAATTTGATGAAATCACAGTAGTGGATGAAGATGATGAGGATGTTTCCATGGAGATCCAACCTGATAGTTTTCATTTTAGCCATCATTCACAATGAGTTTATTGTGAGTTTAGAAATATGTAACAAAAATCAGATCATCATTCTATTAATAGTTTTGAAACATTTCTAATATATAAATTAGATATGTAATCTAAAAAGTAAGAAAAAAATGTTCATGGTCAACTTAAGTAGGTCCAATCTATTTGGATTTTGGACCCATCTTAAGATTATACCCATTAAATCATTTTGACATGTTAATTTCTTGGAAAATTGAGTAATCTAACATTTATAAACAATCTTTTTGACAAAAATGACCATAATTTTTTTTTTGGTAAAATAACCACATTCTCCGGAACACATTGTTCCGGAGATGTCTCTGGAATTCCGGAGTACGATTACGAACCATGGTTCCAGAATAGATTTGACCTTTTTTTTTGCATGTAAGTTTTGCTTTTATAAAATGTATAAGTTTTGCTTTCATAAAATGTATAAATTTTGGTTTTATAAAATATAAAATACAATTAAAATGAACAAACAACTAATAAATACATAAACTAATCAAATGATGTGTCTGTAGGTCATATTACAAATACGATTTTCAAATTATATTTGTCCTTGTACCCCAAAATATTCCCGCTAGTCGTTTTCTATAACCCATAGCCCATGGATCGGTGGTTTTACCCTCTATAAAAATCGATTTTCCAGTGATCAACGCCTTCAGGAACCAATACAAAAACATTAATTCCACAATCCACTCTGCTGTCAATCTGTTGTGGTACGTCTGGGGTCTTTTCGAGGGTCACCTTGAAGCTCTCATGTGAGATTGAATCAGTTGGTTCGGTACCCCAGTAGTTGACTTCCACTAGCAGTTTGTGGATGCGGGCTCTCAGACCTATAAACCAATCCTCATTTTCCGAACAGTAGCCGCCCTTCCAATGACTATCGTATATAGTCATTTTGAATGTCTCCAAATCCAAAGAACCCAAAAAGCAATGAGCTTGTAGTATGTTGATTGGGATGTAAAGCTACAAAAAGGTTAGAAATAATTAATTAGTATATAAATACTCAGGTAATGTAATCCAAACAAAATTATACCGTATCACACTCTGTCCAAGCTAGATAAACGGATCCGTCAGCCATGTCACTCTAGTCATATATATCAGTGTTGAAAGCTGACGGCACAACTGTCTACCGAGCATCATCCGCTCTACACTCTAGCAGCAATGAGATCCACATCATGATGTGCTACCAATTATTATTTTTTTTTTTGCAGTAAAGTAAGTATTATTATTAGAAGCGTAATATGTAATAAGCAAATATTTATATTACTTACATCACATGACAACCATCCTCCATGACTATCCGCATATAACCGTGTCCAAAACTCAAGTGTAACAAAACCGGTCAAATAATTGTGAGCAAACAACAGCGAACCATCCCGTTCTTAGAAGAGGGGATGTTCACATTTCGAAAAGAAATAAGAGTCCTAAAGGCATATAACAAATAACATATAACTCTCAACACAACCCTCCCCTCCCACCCCCTTAAGAGTCCAAGCAACCTAACTGAACCAGTCTACACTGTGAGTTTGAACACCGACATTTGTATTCAGTTCGCTCACAGTATGACTTTGATACCAACTTGTAACATCGTGATTTTTCACCCAATTTTTTTTTAATATTTTAAACACTTTTTAACAGATTACGTTTGTGGAAGACTGATTATGAATATTTCAAAAACATCACCAATGTTTCTTTTATGTCAAAACAAGCCCATTAAAATTTAAAGTTTACAAAAACAGTATGATGAAAACCCAACATGTCCAAATGGTATCATATCTAAAGATACTAAATAAGACTATGCAAAAAAGTTCTCATCCTCACCAAGGCATCATGTCAAGCTACTTGTTCCATTGCACAACAATCAACAAGCAAATAACAGGTGTTAGCATAAGCTAAGTGACTCAATTACAAACAATGTTAAAAGAACACATATCATAAATGGATCACACAACACATTCCCACACAATCAAAGACTCATAAGCTAGACATAACAACATCACACCGCATATCAAACACTGTTTAGCTCAATTAATTTTATTCTTCTTTTAGAGCTTTTTTTTAGATTACTCTCCTCAAGCACACTGTAACTAATTTTCTATCTTTTCACCGCTATGATATTATTACATAATATTTTTGTCCACTTTATTTTAATAATAACTCACCGCTTACCATCACTGTAATTATTAAAGTAATACTTCCTAGTTAGGGTTTATTTATTCACCGTAAACCCCAAGGCAAGTACCCCATTCGTTGTTAACGTAACCGACACGACCCAATGCACTAGGTGAGGCGCGACTCTCACCCGTAATCATTTCTCCTAGTGCACTGCGTTCGCTGCTCCGACTTTTCACATATGTATACATGCATTGTCGTTAAGGTTCGATTCAAGCGATGCCAATTCCATCGCATTACACCTCCCGAATCCCACGTGATGTTTGCGCCGGCTTTCCTCGTAGATCCAGCATAACTCCATTTCACCTATCTTTAGGTGAACCATGTGTCAAACTGGTCGTCTAGAATAACCATTCGACTGGATTTCATCGTAGAGCCAACATTAACTGGCTTTCCTCTTAGAGTCAGCCCTAACCAACTATCCTCGTTGAACCGACACATCCTCGTAGAGCCAACACCGATTGGATTTCCTCATAGAGCCAGCCCTGGTTGGCTTCCTCGAGGGTCTAACCCTAATTGGCTTTCCTCGTGGAGCCAACACTACCCTTCGCCCCACTAGTGTATTCCCCTTTTAATTAATTTATTATTAATTCATCCTTTAAGGAATTACACATTTGACTTTCTTAAGTAATCATGTATATTTATTAACATCTTTTTCTAGCATATTACTTCTAATGTAAACATGCAAACAAGTAAATACAAGTTAGACATTGTACATCGCAAACAAGTTAATGCACATATCATCATTATGGCTTGGCAACATCACTAGCATGCTCTGTCCTAATCATGATAGACAAGTGTTTCCAAGAAATCATGGTATGCACACATCACATAAAATCAATACATTGCACTCTTTCTATCATGACCCTAACATACCTCTCACATCAAAAGAATAAGAATCTAGCATTTAAGCATCATAAAGTCTCATACACACAATGGAAGATAGTAACCAAAAACATATCACATACAATAGGGGTATATTCAACCTAAACAATCTAGGTTCATTCCAATCCATCTAAGATATGGAATTCCCTAACAATGTACTTTAAAAATCCACAAGATAAACTCACCTTTAACGTTCAATCATTGTATTACTAGAACAAGTCATTTTATTACTGGAACAAGTCTTGAAACTCCCTAATTGCCAAAACATTTATGCAAATATTAAATTACATTAAAATCATGTCACATTACATACTTATATTATTAAATATATAGTTAGTAATTATTTCTAAGATTTGATTTATATTTTTTCCCTCTATAACATAATTCTTCAAAACTTGTTATTTTAGTTATAAGGGATTAATAATAGTCAAGATTATCATTTTACATCATTCAGTTTTGATGACTAGTAAAGTACTCAATCCAAATACATATATGTATAGTATGTATACTACGTGTGTATATATATATATATATATATATATATATATATATATATAATATATTATATATATATAGAACTAGTTTATAACCCGTGAGAACCACGGTTATAAAATTAATAAAACTTTCATATTAAAAAATCAAAATTATTAATCAATTATTTTAAATAAATTATTATTTAAGTGATATTTTTTAGTTATATAAAAATATAATCGTCAACTTAAATAAATACGTGAAGTTATATCACCTTATAATTTGTACTAGTTTTATTTTATTTTTTAATCTAATGTTATTAATAATATAATTAGAGTGAAAAATTTTAAATTTTGAAATTTAAAATGGAGAATCAATTATTAATTTAATGTAATTAGAATGAGAAATTTAAAATTCTGAAATTTGAAATTGATGATTAATAGGTTAACAAGTGGCATGATATGTGACATATAATATTAATGTAGAGTTGTAATAGTATGACACTTGTCAATAGAAGAATAAACATATTCATTTATTAGAATAGGAAAATTACACATCTATAAACTAATACATCACATCACATTGTTACCTCATAATTTTGCAGCCAACTTCCATAGTGAAAATAATAATTCATTATTTATATCCTAGTAACTAACTATGCATATATTTAGAGTATCTAAATGTGATGTAAATTAGAATTATAATCGAGAGAAGATACCACTTTGCCACCATATCTCGTTTTATGCACAAATTACACCCATCATATAACTCACAATTAAGTAACAGATGAGCAAATACCTATCTATACATGCAAAAGTGTCGCACATGAAATTCCATTAGTTAGATATTCTAGTGTAACCACTATTCCCAAACACTCGCATAGACGATTAGAATAGATACCGATGATTGAACGGAAACGTTTATCTCATGAGCACCAATAAAAGTCCTTGTAGCCATCGAAATAGTCAGGGTTTCCTTCCCTTAGTCTATGAGATAACCAAAGATATTATTCCAATAAAACTCTACTGAAAACTTCCCTTATTTGCGTCCTCTCATTCGACACTGATTATTGACGAAGATTTTCATCAAGAAACTTCACAGAAAAACTTGATCCCTGGGGTCCTTTTTATTCCATCTTACATATCATGAAGGGTTGTATGTCGTGTCCGGAACTCCATAACTAGCTTTCAAAATCACACTATGTATCCCGCTACATCCTTCTTCTCTTCTTCTTCTTCTTCTATGCGTGACCAAATGGGTCTAACCCTCTGATGGTATTTTTGATTCCCTACAGAATTCCCCTTAATTACTTTTCCTCGTCTCAAATTTCAACTGATCTCGTCCCGATACACCAATCAGAACCCTGCACCAACGTCTACAATTACTCTTCCTCATCTCAAATTTCAACTGATCTCGTCCATATACACCAATCGGAACCCCGCACCAACGTCTACACATGCAGAACTA